GGGGCCTGCTCGCCCCCACGTCCGGGGCCGCCGCGGGATAGCACCAGCTGGGCAGCAGCCCAGACGCGACTGGCCAGGGGCTGGGCGCAGCGTGCGCGCTGCTGGGTCCCCGCAGCAGGCCCTGGCTCGGGGGGTTCGGGGGCGCCAGAGCTGCAGCCGCGGAGCGCCATGGCTGCTTCTGCCCCCGCGGCAGTGGGAGCTGCAGCCGCAGCTGCTCCCGAGTCCCGCTGCCCGGGGGGGAGAACAGCCGCCGCCTGGCCCCGCGGGCCGCCCCCCTCCTCACCCTACCACCCAACTGAGTCCTGCCTGCTCGGGACCAGGCCGGACTGTTACTCACCCCGGCCCCGCGCTTCCCCTGAGTCTCCTGGGCCTCCCTCCAGCACTTGCGGAGGTAAGGTTTTTTTTTTTTTGGCCCCGCCCCCCGCCACGCCCCCCCCCGTGTCACACACACCCCCCGCGTCCCGATATTTGTCTTGGGTGATCTGGTCGCCCTAGGTCAAAGCACAGTGGGAGATCAGTGAAGTGAAGCTTGCAGTGCTCAGCAAGTACCTGTTTTGTGTATAAACACAGGGCTTTATTCTCCACGGCTGCTATTCTGGCACCCATCACTCACATCAAATTAAAAACCTAAGCAAAAGTAGTCGTTGATGGATCCCCATAGTTATCACCCCCAATCTGCAGCAGCCATCTCTACAATCTAATGTACAGAGCCTACTGCAACTCCCCAGAAGAGTCTAAAAGTGCCCCAAATTCTCATTTTTCCCCTCTTCAGAATCACATGGAAACAGGTGGTTTTTTTGTATGTCAAAACAGAAAGTCAACAACAGTTTGTGATACTGGTTTGTGTCCAAATTCAGCAAAGTAATGACCTTCAGTGGCACCACTCACACATACACATTTGTGCATATGCCTAAATGCCTTGTTGAACCAAGGCCATAGTGAGTCCTCTTTTCCAAATTCCCTGTGTCCTTCCATGGCATTTGTCATCATTTTCAAGCATTTGGGGCATTTTTACTTACAAGCACATCAGCTATTTGCAATATTGTTTTCATAGCTTCATAGATCTGAAGCTATGAGGGACCATTAGATCATCTGGTCTGACCTCCTGTATCTCACAGGCCACAGCATTTCACTCAGTTACCCTCATAGGCACTGACTTCTTCTGGTGCTGGTGGGTGTTTGACCCCCGCTCTGCACCCAGCCCCGCCCCAACTCCACCCCTGCCCCGTCCCCTCCCACCCTATTCCATCCCCTTCCCCAAAGTCTCCGCCCCCTCCCTGTCCCTATTCAATTCCTAAATCTCCACCCCGGCCCCGCCTCTTCCCCACCTCCTCCCTTGAGCGCGCCACCTTCCCGCTCCTCCCTCCTCCCTCCCAGAGCTTGCTACAGCTGTTTGGTGGCAGCAAGTGCTGGGAGGGCGGGAGGAGCAGTGATGCGGCGCTCAGGGGAGGAGGCGGAGGAGGTGAGGTGGGGGGGCAGGGCGGGGAGCTTAGCTGCCGGTGGGTGCAGAGCACCCACTAATTTTTCCCCCTGGGTGCTCCAGCCCCGGAGCACCCATGGAATCAGCGCCTATGGTTACCCTTGTACTGAGTCCAATACTATGGATTTGACTGATACATAGTCTTGATCTGAGGACTTCAAGAGATGGAGAATCCACCACTTCCGTTGGCACTTTGTTCCAATGGTTTATCGTCTCCCCATTAAATATGTGTCCCCTTGTTTTAAATCTATCTCAATGGGAAATAAACAGCTCAGTTGGCTAATGCCTTGGAGGCCACATTTGACTGTTATAGCCAGACCTGGCCCTTTTGGACCCCATAAAATACCTGAACAATTCTTCACCTTAATTCATTATAGTCTGCAGCATTCCTATACCCCTGGTCATGATGCCACTTTCACTGACAAAAGACCCTGCTGCCTCCCATATTCCTTCTGCTGTTGGTATCAGCGCAATGTCCTGGGCAATGGATCAAGCTCCACACTCTGGATTGTCCCATGTCAAGATGAAGAAAATCTATTTCAGCCCCCATAGGGGAAGAACTGCTGGTGCAGAAGGCCACTACGTGCTTGCTGTATTACACTAAAGTCTTGGAGAGAGAATTCAATAAGGTTGACATAGATATTGAATAAGATTCTGTATTCCATTTCTGCCCTAGGTTACTGTAGGAGAGATGTTGGGGAATTCAAATATAAATAGAGCATAGGATTTTTATTTTTTAGTGTACAAGCACTGAAACTATTACTCTTGTCATATGGTTTATATCAGTGAAATTTTGGACTATCTGCTGCACACGTCGGCCATGCATGGTACATGGGCCTGGGATTAAATTTAATTGCGCTGCTGAATTTTCATGAACATTTCTACTCCTTTAATTTATGAAGGGGTCTCCTGTGTTTGAGCATTCCAGCTCCCTTCTTTTTCAGCTTTAAGGCCCAGTTTATCAAAGCACTTAAGCACAAGCTTAAATTTAAGCCTGTGCTAAAACCCCACCCTAGTCAGCAAAATTTCATTTAAGCACATGCCCAAAGTTAAGCATAGTCTTAAGTGGCTTCTGTGGAGCTACAGTGGTCTAAAACTGGAATAACACACTGAAGAATGAGGCCCCATGTTTCAAATTAATGAAGTCTTAATAATGAGAGCTGTCCTGAGCACTCTCCTACTAGATCTTCACTGAGAAATGGGGAGCGGCTTCCTCTTCTATGGGCAAATTATCATGTGCGCAGATTAGCGAAGTGGAAATTCAGGAGGGTTTACTCTATTTCTTACATTTCTAGTAACAAGAGCTAAATGAATATAGCAGAAAGATGGCTCGATGCATAAATATTCTCTTACAAGAAAATGTGATCCAGCGAAATCCTCTTGTGCATTGTCTGATGTAGCTGGTGAGGGGGCAAAGCATACCCCCAGTGTTGCCCAGCATGCTGGTACATCCTTGATAACGTGCCAAGATTCTGGAATGCTACTGGCTGCGCTATGAGAAAGTTACCACCATCAGCTGCAGAACAGAAGCCACAGGGGAACGGAGCAGCAAAGCATTTAAAGCTGAACTGATGAATCCATTATAAACCCACATTTGGAATGTTTAAGGGCCTAGTCCTAGGGCTGTTCCAAAGCCCACTGAAGACGAGAGGAGTCATTCCATTGACTTCAATGAGCTTTGGATCAGGCTTTAAGGTCCTGATTCAGGAAAACACCCATAAATCCCATTGAGGTCAATGGGATTTAATCACGAACTTTTAAGTACTTTCCTGAACTGGGGCCTAACTGAACAAGTCCCATTGACTTCCACTTTTCAAAGCAACTGGCTGAGCTGGTCCTTATACTCTATCTGGGCCATTTCAGTTCTGATTGTAAATTAATACACAGCTTGCCTCTCCAGATGTAAATCTATTTTACAAAAAAAAAAAATTTAAGCCATTTTCAAATTCCAAAGCTTCAAACAACATAATTTCACAACTGACTTAAAAAAAAAATGTAGTGGCGAGCAGTCAGTAAAACAAAGAAGCTGAATTGGGGTGGAGGGGACAGAGCTGGGAAGAACTCTGATCCCACAAACCTTTACCCATGCAGCTGTAATTCTACCATTTTACTGACTTTGCGAAGAATCAGACCCTACGATATTGCAGGTGGTGCGAATCTTTAAAGTGGACCGCCAGTCCTTGTGTGACAAACTGTGCTACTGTAATTGGATTGGTTGGGGGCAGGGGGAGGGGAGAATAACTACAGTGCACCAACCTCAGAATGTAATTAAAAGTGAGTCAGTATCTTGGTTAATAGTGTTATATAAAAATGCAAAGTGGCTAATGAGAAGAAAAGGCAGTTTCATTCACCATGTGCCTGATGCAAAAGGGTGTCATTGACTCCTTCAAGGATATTCGCTGGAAATGGTCAGGCAGCAGAAACAGGTGCCAAAATAAAGGCAAAGCAACTGATCACATTAAACCCTCCAATCTGCTATTTTAATGAGTTCACGGACCAGATAGCCAGGGTGGCTAAAGTAGCTGTGTCACTGGAAAGAAGTCACACCCATGCACAAAGAGGGGAAAGTCAGAAAAGAACCAGACTATTTCTGGCCATTCTCCCAGGCAGTGTACCCCTGACTGCATTTATATCTTTAAAAGTTGATTTGGCATGGGATGGGGGAAGGGATCACACCAAAAGTTCAGCCCTATTAAAAGAAATGGAAAAGCGGGGGGCGGGGGCGGAGGAAGGAACCCTCCTTGGTCTCATAATGAGCTATCCTCATTATAAGATTAGCTGCAGGAATGAACACCACCCTCTTAATAAGGCACACATCACTATGACAACCACAGAGTTTGACACCCGAGGACATCTTTGTTGTGCTGTAATATTTAGTTGTTTTTAAAAAAATATTATTTTTGGTTATTAGACTTAGCTCCTCTACAGCCCCTTCTTCTCCTCGTTTGCAAGGCAGGATAGGCCAGAGGGCTAACGGGCCTCTTGTAAGGTTAGTAAATTGCTGTCACGCATCAGTGTCGGAGCCTGCTGACATGATTATCCCACTGTACCACATATAATTAGCAATGCAAAGCCCAGACTGTATTAATACCATGATTTTAATTATGGTGGAAGCATAAACAAGGGTATTAATACTATGAAAGTATTGGTATAGCTATTTGACAGCCCATATGCTTGTCTGCAGGACCACTAGGGATTGCGTGGAATCGGGAGCTGTGCAGTTCCCTGACTGTAATGAGAAGACTGCTGAAAAATTGATGCCGCCTGCAGATTGCACAATCCGCTGAACAGCAGGGGGTCGGCTTCTTACATCTCCTACTCTCGGTACAATATGCTAATTTCCGCATGCATATGAGTGTAAAAGGGAAGAAGAAAAGATTTCACAAAAGGAAAAAAATGCAAATGACAACCACAAAGATCACTGCAGAGAAATCCATGAGCTTTATATGGATTAACTGTGTTGGAGCTAGTGCTCGCCTGAGTTTAACCCTTTCTGTCCTAGAACCTTCGGCATCTTTCTTTTGTGGTGCAGAGGAATAGGTAAGATGCCGTTGTGGGGAAGGAGGGAAGCCAGGAAGGAATGGAAAGGATGGAAATGTTTTTCATCACGACCCCCCCTCTTTTTAATCTTGGTTATGAGGTCCCCAGGAACTAATGGGGAAGAAAAAGTGAGTTTAGGGTGGGGGTTAAAAAGAGATGGTGGTAAAATGTGAAGAGAGTTCAAGGGAACACTGCTGGGACACAGCCTGGTAGAGGGAACCTCCAACTTTAATATGGGAAGATTTGCAATAGACTATTACTCAGAATATTCAAGAGCTTCTTTGACTGCAGGATGGGATATTGGCGCAATGCACGGCAATGTTCCTGACAATGTATTTGCAAGGTTCTGGTGCTGTTACAAAATATCATCATCTAGAAGAGGCAGATTTCTAATTTCAAATTCACAAGCTTCCTCTACCCTACCAAACTGGAGAAGGAGATGTACTAGCTTGGCTAATACATCTTCTCTGCAGTAGAGAAATGTGGTGTACTGACTGCCATGTGGTTTCCCCATAGCTCGCCTATTATATGCCATGCATCCATACACAGATATGCCCCCAAAGGTGCCCAGGCACTCACACTCCCATTTGGACTTGCCTTGAGAGAAGCCAGCCACTGCCTCCACCATACCAATCTTCACCATTGCCATGACAGGATGAACAGAAATATTCATTGGTACAATCGCTTTAAGGGAGCAAGGGGTCCTCCCATTATTGTCCTACAGTGCACTGATCACTGCCAGGAATTAAGGCCATGCAGGTCCCTAGACAGACTCAGGGGGATCCCACACCTCAATTCCCTATATGACTCTGCTTCCACTTTGGGTGTTGGCTGGCCACCCACACACCCTCATGCCAGTCTTTTGGCAGGGCAGGGGATCCTTCCTCTCTGGCCTGCAGGGGGGAATTACCTGTGTTTCTGCAGTGGAACAAATCAAAGCCTTAATTCTTCTCCAGTCATTAAAGAGATTGGTTGGTACCTCTTTAGTAGCAGCAGGTGCTGTTATGCTTGGTCCTATTAATGCATAATATGGCTTCTGTATACACCCACTGTTTCCAAGCATGAATGAAATCCTTAGGAAATATTAGTCATTAAAAAGTTGCTGCTGGGGAGGTGTACTACAGCAGGTGCTTAGCAAAAAGAGATTGCTTGTTGTATTAAAAGATGCTGATTTGACATCCTCAGGTCTGAAGACTGAAAAGCTCATATTACAACCCCGCACAGTGTCCTTGCCACCCCGTACTTCACCCTATTCTGGAAGTGCCACTTATAGGGAATCAGAGAGATGGGCAAGGAGGCAGACGTGACAAGATACTGTCTGTAATCCAAACCCAATCAAATCCTTTGTCTCAGCAAAGAGGCCATCAACAAAGAGGGCTAGTTATGATTGGGATGTTTGGTTCTTTTCTGAGTTGGACACTTGTTTCCTAAGAACTGGACTGAGACCATTAATTAATTTCACAACCATCCTTGAATGGCCTCCAACCTTCAGTCAAATGACTGGGCCATACTCCAACCCTGTGCTAAACACTCTTCAAACAACACAACCTACCACCCCAAAGGTCCTGGAGATGAACAAGCTGCAACGTTCCACATTGTTGGTCACATAATATGTTGAACGGTAAGGCTGCTTTTTTTTTCAGTTTGTGAATCACTGCAAACATGTTTTGATCTTTACCAGTTCACTATTCAGAATCAGTTGTAAACTGTTTCCTTCCCTTGTTTGCTGTTCATTATTCATAGTATGTAATTGCTCACTCAAATCAGTTGTTTTTGTTCCCTGATTGGATGATGGAAACTTTACAAGCAGGAGAATAATTAATTCTTATATTGTGAGCGCTTCAGGGCAGGGCCCTTGTCTTCCCATATGTCTGTTCAGTGCTTAGCACACTGGGATTCTGTTATTAACTGAGACCTTTGGGCACTACCACAGTATAAATGAATGAAGAATAGCAAACAACGAAGAACAAGTGCCGTTTTGTGGGTGAAAATACTCCTGGTTGCAAGTGAAAGAACAGCCATTCTCCAGATATTTCCCCTGCATGCAGATGACCAGAACAGCAAATAAATAAATGCAGTAAGAATGCTGTCGAATTGAACAGTCATTTGGAAAGCTAATGAACATTTGCAAACAACATTTGTACAGGAACTGATCAACAAGAACCATTCTGAAGTTACACCGAAGCGCAAAAAAAAGTCTAGCATGATAAGACTTCAGTTTTGTATTTTCCCCTTTGCATCTCCCAGATTTAAACAGGTTGAGAGTATGAACACTGAGCTTCAACCTTGGGTGAATTTTTATGGTTGAGTGAAAAGGTTGTTGAGGGAAGGGGTAAGAGCAGTGCTTAATTTGTAATGAAAGAGATGCCAGGGCTCACGCTGGGGGGCCAGAGAGTGGAGGCTGCTGGCTGGGCACCCAGCTCTGAAGGCAGCGCTGCACCAGCAGCAGCATAGATGTAAGGGTGCCATAGTATGGTATTGCAGCCCTTACTGCTGCACTGCTGCTGATGGTGGTGCTGCCTTTGGAACTGGGTACCTGGAGAACAGCGGCTGCTGGCTGGAAACTAGGAGGTACAGCGGTTATGAACTGCCAAGCCTAGATGTGGTAGAGCTCTGGCACCAATTAAGCACTGGGTAAGAGATAAATATGTTTATAATGGAAATGCTGACCCAGACTTAATGATATAGTGGCACTAGAAGGCATCGCTATAAGTACTGTAGGAGAAGACGTCAACAACTCTGGTCAAGGGACGTCCTGTTGATGGTGATTAGAGCTGCTCTGTTTCAGAAATTTACAGCATACTCTCAAAGCTCCTCTATTCCAATGTAATTCTCTCAAGCCAGTCAACCGGAAAAATGCTAATATGACAAAGTTCTATGGGCCAAACCAGAACCCTGAATTCAAACATCCCTGAAACCTGTGTGCGTGTGGATGTATTTGCACAGTGCGGATACAGCAGATAGTTCAAAATCTGGTCCTGAAGCCAGATCTTCAGCTGGTATAAACCCAGCGTGGTTTCAGACTGAATTATATCATGTATATCAGCTAAAGGATCTGGAACTCCAAATTCAAACACCCCTGAACTTTGAGGCTGTTCAAAATCTGGATCTGAACCTGGATCCAAATTTGCAATTCTTGTCCAGCTCCAGGTGGTTGTAAGTGGGGGTGGGGGGGTACTGAGCTGACATTGTAGCATGACTTTTTCAGAGGCAGAGACCAACAGCACATGCTTTTTAAAGAAAGTCCAAAGGTATTGAAACAGTAGCACTGTGCAATTGTACTTTTATTTACTTAGCTAATGAGCACTTTCTTCTTGACCCAGAGACTTCTGGAACTGGAAGGTCTATAGCTCGTCCAATGCCCCCAAAATAGGGTTTCTATAGGGCCATATTCTGATATCCTTACTCATGACAAGCAGTCCCTTACTCTGAGAATAGTCCCCGTTGAAGTCAATGGAGCTACTTGTGGTCTAAGGTACTTCTCAAGATGAGAATGGACTTCACACAATCTGGGCAATAGTATTTTGAAACGTGCTATAGAATAGCATAGGATGGATTTTCAGTAGCCATTCAAAGTGCTGCCGAGCTCAGGAGTACCCTGTGAGTTGCTGAGCTAATGGCTTGATCATGAAGCCCAAATGCAAGTATAGCTCTCAGTGAAGTCAGTGTGAGGGATGCAGGACTGGGCCCTTACTAAGTAAGAGCTCTGCACACAAAGGTGGTAAATTCACCTACTCATCTGTTTGTGCATTTGGAATATCCTTTTCTACTTCTCCTCAAATGGATGTCCTTGTCTTGGCAACAAAGAGGGACAAGCTGGTTATTTACTCTAGCACTAAGCTGTTGCATTCGTATACAGGACTCCAGCATCGTCAGTCTACCACCCCACTGCTCCTACAATTATAAACTGTAGATCAACTACTGTAGTTCCCTCACAGGTGATGCTACTGCTGCTGGCCCTGAACCAGCAGAAGAATTTGAATGCAGGTTACTAAGGAATGGGGCTGATGGTGTTTCGCTGTAAACGGTTAGATGTCACACTAACTGCTGCAGCCCAGAGGAGGCTGCATGTCCTGGGGTTCTCAGATACGCACAGTATGCTCTAGCATGTAAGTTGGTTGGTACCATGCTTTGAGATCCTTGTGGATGACAGGTGGTGTGTAAACGTTATCATTATTATCCTGGGCATGTGCAGCTCTCTGATTGGGAGTGTTCTGTCCCTGTGTGCAGTTATATGTAGAACATGACCTAAGTAATTAAAAATGTCCCAGCGTGCTTCCCCCTTTCCATTTTTCTTTCCTCTAGCTCGGTTTGCTGGCATTTACCCAAAACAACACAGAGTGATAGCTAGGCGCGGGCTACTGCTGGTTTCCCTGCCATGATACAGCCATTGATCCTGCAGCATCTGCCAGCTCATCAGTGCTTACTCTAATTCCCTGCCTCCAGGTTTTTCCCTTTCCCTCCAGGCAATAGTTACTTCGGATGAGCACTCCCTTTGACCAGCATGATGAGATCTGCCAATTACCATGGTCTCAGTATTCAACTTTGGGAGCGACTGTGATCACACACTGACCTTAAACTATGGTTTTTCCAGCCTGTCTGGGATGGTGTCTTGAACCAAACTGAACTGCAGCTCCTCGGCTCTAGGCATGGTGCTAGAAAACAGCCTCTATGTTAATTCACTGGAAATATACAGTAGCCTGACATGACATCCTCCTCCTTCCCCATCTCTCCCCACTGTGATCACCCATCTACAAGGAAACAGGAAAATCTGCTACCTTCCTCTGATGATGAGTGATTTTTTTGGCAAGATAGCTCTATATCTTATGACAGAAGGGTTTGTAACACAGGAGTTTAGACATGTGAGAGAATAAGCAATCTAATATATCACGGCCCAAAGCATTTTTCTCTGCATCACATTGACGAATTAAATAAAAGAAGGGAAAAAACATAAGGAAAAATGAAATGAAACATTATCTAAACAAGATTTAGTTAAACACGGTAATTGCAATAATTGCCCCAAAAGCCTAGACTATTATGAAGAAGCTTAAAATGGCCTGTTTGAAAAGCATTAATAAACTCTGAACTAAGGAGCATCTGTTGTAACTTGGGAGATTAGTAGAACAGTAATGTGAAGTGGGTTTGGCCTGTGTTAGCCTGTGCTAAATCCATTATGCAGTGGGATTCAAAGCACTTTCAATATCCAGCATTCTGCTTGCAAAACTCTTAATTTCATAATTTAGAATCTCAATGTCTGAGCAAAAAAATAAATTAACCTAGGGAAAAAGATGCAGTTAGTTGTGTTTGTGCCCTGCATGGAGAGGTTCCTAGTGCAATGCAGGGTGTGACCAGTTCAGCTGCGGTAAGTGTGGCTAGCTTGTGACTTACAACTGCATTACATCTGAGTTCATTCACATCGCCGCCTCGTGCCTGAGCTCCCTCCCCTCACAAGCCAACAAATAAAAAGAGTGAAACTTATTTTTGGCTGAATTGTAGAGATTTAACATCATTCCAGACTGTCAAAAGTAAGGATCAGCAACTTCCCATGAACGTCCACGGAGAGATGAAATATAACCGAGTGGCACTAGTCATCATCAGATTAGAACCGCAAGAACAACGAGAACATTTTATATGTATATACCCGCTTTTGCCCCAACGGCTTTATAAATGATGCGTCAGATCCTCAGCTAGGGTAGATCAGCCTAGCTCCTTTGAAGATACTAGAGCTATGCTAATTTACAACAGCTGGGGATCTGGCCTGGTAGATATCCTGCTTCAGTAAGGGTGACGTTCAGCTACACAGCAAGGTGCACAACAATGGGAAAAGAGGGCACTTGAGCCAGGGACAACAGAGAAAAGCGTTACTCTTCCAAAGAAGTGTTATGGGATCTTTAATGCCCCCTCTCCCCACACACACCAGACAGCACCTGGATTTTTGTTGTGGTTGTTTTTTATTTGGGTTGGGTTGGATTTTTTGGTCCAGTCGACCCACACACAAAATACATCACCTGGACTTCAGTTTATCATGATGTGATGAGCTGAACTCCCTGGTAGTGCCACATAGCAGTTAGTTACCTGGGTCACAACTCTCCCCTGTCTCTAGCATTGCCTACCAGTGAGCGCTCTGGCATAGTGACAAGTATCAGAGGGGTAGCCATGTTAGTCTGAATCTGTAAAAAGCAACAGAGGGTCCTGTGGCACCTTTAAGACTAACAGAAGTATTGGAGCATAAGCTTTCGTGGGTGAATGCCCACTTCATCAGACGCAAGAGACATAGTGGCATAATGACAGTCTCCTGTTGGGAGAAGGGTAACTTGGCTCTTCAGCCACGTCACCAGTTGAATCTGCCACCTTCACAGAGGGACAAGGGGCTAACAGAATTAAATAAATGTAATAGTCCCCCACAAAGGAAAGAGTCTTCAGCCCATGTCCAGGCCCCTGTGGGCTGTGTGACCTTGTCTCAGGGCTTACAATGTCTGAATCCCCCTTAACTGCAGTGGGGAAGGGGTTTGTGCACCCTTCATGTGAGGGAGGTTGTTAGGGAAACCCAGGCCCTCCCTCTCCACTAGGCTCCAGCCCAGGACCCTACAAGAGGCAGCAATGTCAAACATGCAGGAGTGCTTCAGAGCTTGCTCCCTGGGTCACTTCCTAGCACTTACCCTCCCAGTCTGTGGTCAGAAAGCATCACAAATGATCCACCAGACAATAGACTGAAGGGTTGCTAGGGTTAGGATAAGGTTGGTTCCTCCTTTAGGAAAAGAGGTAGCTGCAGCTTGCAGACTTCTCTCCTGCAGTCAGGACTCCAGCTGGGCCCTTACTCCTGAGCTGCCTAGAGAGATGTGTCCTCCTATCCCAGTGGTTCTCAAACTTATTTAATCGCACCCCCCCTTCTTTGTGTCTGTAGTAGTTTACGCCCTCGCCCTTCCTCAGGTGCCTGGCCAGGAGCCACTGCTCTCCCGCTGCTCAGCTATGAAGGCAGAGTGGACAGCGGCAGCTGCTGCCTGGACACCCAGCTCTGAAGGCAATGCTGCCACCAGCAGCAGTGGAGAAGTGAGGGTGGTATGATATGGTACTGCCTCCCTTACTTCTGTGCTGTTGCTGGCACCACTTCCTTCAGAGCTGGGCAGCCAGAGAGCGGGGGCTGCTGGCCGGCTGCCCAGCTGCACCTGCTGCTCTCCAGCTGCCCAACTCTAAATGTGCACAGTAAGTGTTTTTCCGTAAAGCTTCTCATGTCCCCTCAGAATACATTCCACGCCCCACAGGGAGAACCTCTGTCCTATCCAACTTGCCTCTTTTTTCTGAGCTGTCTGGTTCTCTTTTAAGCTCCTCCAACTGGAGCAGGCTCTGCAGGTGCAGTGGGGTGGAGCCACCTAGGCCCAGAACTATTCCTTAACCCCTTTGGTCCCAGTGTGGATTTTTACACCCCATCACATCTGGTCAAAAGGGTAAAGGGCTGAGCTGACCCTTGTGGGAGTCAAACTTGTGATTCCAGCTGCCTAATGTATTACAAACTTGACATGTACGTGCACATCACTAAGCATACAGCAAATAAAACAGTCACACTAACTGTCTACTCTGTGAGGTTCTGAGAGGTTTTTCCCAAGAGCCTTCCTTTCTCCCAGCCTGCCTCTCTTCATCCCCCACCCCCACCCCACTGGGTGCACTTGGTAAGAGACAGCACCATCTGGCACCACAAGCAAAGGAATGCCACAGGAAGTATGTTTTTAACAGCTCATGCCAACTTCCCTGTGATGTGTTTGCTTCAAAACGCAGCGGTAATGATCAGGTAGCAGTGGCGGCTGCAGAAGTAATGGTATGGTGCCTCCAGTGATGCTGGGTTTCTTAGAAGTCAGGCATTTTAAATGACTGAATTTTAATGTCAATAAAGTTTGTTTAAAGATGTAAGACCAGCCCAAGAGGGAGAACAGCCACAGGGATTTAAGGAGCTGGAAAAGCTAAAGGCAAATAGTTATTTTTAAAAGCTTAATATTTATTGCTAGTGATTAGAGAGGGCTCCTTTTTTCAATCCCTTGGGGAGGGAGGGTGCCCTAGAACTCCATCTTGGAACCCCAGGGGCCCTGGTGTAGTCCCTCTTTTTCAAACGCCTCACCATCGGATGGCAAGCAACCTTCCTTCTGACAAGGGAGGGCTGGACAACACAGAGTCCATCAATATCATTCCAGGCTTCTACCACAAAGGGATTAGTGAGCAATCTGAGGTGCTTTCTTCCCCCAGGAGCCAGGCAACCTAGTCTCTGCAGTGCTCCAGAAACAGGAGCTCATGCTCAGGAACTGAACTCAAATTCCCTCAACCTGATCACCAGGCTAGTCTAGACAGAGACTTCATAATACCTTGATTTTCTTGGTTTTATCTACTGGTCTGATTTTCAAAGTTAGGCACACACATGCAAACTAACATGACTGTGCTCATAAGGCAAGTATGTGCCCACACAACTGGGCAGTTATGTATCCGATCGGCCATTTGCACATGCAAAAACTCAATGTGCACATGCACCAGCAAACAGAGTTGCCATATGTTCGTGCGCAAATTGAACTCATGAAATTGCATGCACCCAACTTTGCAAACCAGTTCCACAAAGTGCTTTAAGTGAATTTTATGCTTATGTAGGTGATGGAAATTACTTAAATATTAGCTACATTTGTGCAAAACTGGTTTCAGTTCCCAGGATTCATCAGAATCTTTTTTTTCCCCACCCAATTTCATTTCATATGGGCTAACAGCCTGGAAAGTTCAGGGTTGAACAAATCCTGTATTGCCAATCTCATTTGTTAAGAAAATCATGAGCCGGACTCTCCAAAATCATGAGACTGGCTTAAAAAATTGTGACATTTAAAAAAAAAATTAATGTGGGGTTATTCTATTTGCCTTCTGTTTTTTTCAGCTTTTACAGTAAATCTTAATGAGCTTTTCTCTGCAACCACAAGGGCTCGAAACTTTTTTTTTTAAAGGAAAAAAAGTAAAGCTGAGATTCTCATGTCATCAGTTATTTCCAGGAGATGCGACTTCAAGTAAAACATCAAATATTCTGAGATTCATAAAACCGTGAGAACGGGCAACACTGCAAATCGTCAAACCTCAATGTAATGGTTGAAATAGCCACGTTTTGCCTGGTTTTATGTTGAATCTATGTGAAAACACCAAGTTCCACGTGATTTTCATCCAGAGGAATAAACTGGCCCATAAAACCCAGGTCCACTTGCAACTCGGTCTAAGGATACAGCTACGTTGCAAGCAGGGGGAGTAATTGCAGCACATGTAGACGTACCTGTGCTAGCTTCAATCGAACTAGCTCAGGTACTAATAGCAGTTGGCAGCCGAGGTGCCTTCAGCATGAGCTAGCCCCACAAGTAATGACCTATAATCCCAGCTGGGCTTGAGCAGCCCATGCTGCCATGGGCGTACATGAGCTAGCTAGATCAAAGCTAGCTTGGATATGTCTATACATGCTGCAATCACTGGCCCCACCCGATTGTAATGTAGATGTACCCTGAATTTGCTCAAAACTCAGTCCAAGTTCTCTTGAAACTTTTCCTAGGCTTGCTCAGAACTTGGATCAGGTTCGCTCAGAGAACCTGAGCTGCTTTGAGTCTACAGGGAAGCCTAGAACTAGGCTCTTTCACCTACCTTCAGGTTTTTAGTTCTGCTAGTAACACTGGTGCTAAGTAAGCAAAATGCAGGCAGGCACCACACAGGGCATGTGCCACTCCGTCAGCGTACCTCACTTGCGAGCTCCAGAAAGTGTTGCTCTTTCAGTCTGAAATCCCCCAGCCACTGCCAAGCCTATTGATTGCATGGTGGTGTGGGGATGTGCATGTTTCTGTAAAATCCCAATCCCACCTGTGTAAGAGACTTTTCTATAAGTCTAATGAAAGATTTTCTATGTCAGCAGGGAGAAACCCAAAGCAGGCTACACTGTTCAGACGGCAATCCTGTCTGCAGCTGTCCCAGGACTGCTGCTTCTCCTCCTCCTCCTCCCTGGCACATTGCACTGCCTCAAGCCAATGGCCCTTTGCTTGCCTTCCTTTGTCATTTTTTCCCCCAATGCTAGGGAGAAGCACACTGCTTTGCCCCACATTCATCTCCTGTCTCTTTTTCCCATTGACTCAGGGTAACAACAGGAGAAAATGGATGCAGGTGGTTGCCCATTTGGCTGCCCCATTTTGTCCTTGTTGGGCTGCACGTGAAGGTTTTGGCTGAGTACTGGGTTGAACTACATCAGAATCGCTTGAGAGCTGCATGTGGCCTGCTGGCTGCCCTTTAGTCACTCTGCGCTGCAGCTCGTGTTGAAAGGAAACGTCAACTGTGCCATTTTATCTCAGACTCAAGAACGTCCTGTGAAATCTGAAACTTGCATTTCATCCAGACAGGCCACTTATGTTGTAGCAGACGTTATTGACATAACCCAAGAATGTTGATGTAACCCAAAAGACATTCTTCCTAGTGTCAACTGTGTGCGCGCAAGTGGAGCCCTTAATTACAGCTCCTTGTCAGAGTCCAGGGAGCAGGTTAAGCAAAGCTAAATTTCAAAGACAAACAATATGCATAAATTACCGTGCTATTTTCAAAACATAGCATAGAGGTTTCAGGCAACCTAAACAGCACTGAAAATGTACCCTTTGATTAATCTTTTCATGAAATATTGAAATAAATATGTTTGAAAGGAGACCTGTGAAGGGAGAGGGAGGGGAAACTGATATTGGGTCAATTTGGGCATCTTTATGATGAATAAAGAAGGCTTGAAAGGTTAATTTTCTATTTGTCTTTTCACCTTAGAAATATCAGGAATCTCAAGTCTAGTCTCCCATGTCATTGCTGGAAGACACCTTGGAGGGTTCAGAGATGTGCCTGGTGATCTTCAACCTATAATTGCAGGGAAGGTTGCTTTGTTGAGATCTTTAACAAATACAGCTTTTCTTCTAAGTATTTCTTGGGTATTTGAGTTACATATGTGTTAATGGAAATAATTTTCTCACTAACATACCCAAGGAGGAAACCTCCAGCTATTGGCAAATGAATTTAGATAAAGTGCACTCAGTGGAAATGTTTATATTTT